TCAAGGACTTTCCTGCCTGATTCACCAAAAGATGTTTATCAAATTAAGATGACAGAAAACTAAAAAGGATAATAATTAGTAAATCAGTCACCAAATCAGAACTGGGCAAGCTCTCATAAAAGAACTAAAACTAACAAAATAAAATGTAATGAATGTAAAATTTAAGGAATAAAAATTCAATTGAAGCCCTGTATTAAGGTTTATAAATAAATAAATAAGCAAGCAAGCAAGCCAGCCATGTATGTATGAGATAGCAGAGGCCTGTAATCCCTATACTTGAAAAGTTAAGGTACACAAGTTAAGGTGTGAAAGGTATGAACATCTCTATCTAGTTCAAGTCCAGCCTATGCTACACAGGAAGATCCTGTCTATAAAAAGCATCAAATAAATAGTAACAGGGATAGATCACTTGAGAAAAAGTGTTGTTTTTTTTTTTAAATACTGCAACATTGCCTGGCTTCAGTGGTACACACCTATAATCCTATGTAACTAGGAGGTTAAGAATTGAGGATCCCAGTTCAAGATTATTCTGAGCAGGCAAGTCAGTGGTACTCTTAATTTCCAAATAACCAGCAAAAAGCCACAAGTGGCACTGTGGCTTAAGTGGCACTGTGGCTTAAGTGGTTGAGTTGTTGAACAAAAAAGCTCAGGCCCTAAATTCAAGCCCCAGTATCAGCAACGACAACAACAACAACAAAAAAAAAACATAATCTTGAACTGTATAACCACATGTTATTTTAAAAGAAAGTTATAAGTCTCTACATATAAAGTTGCCTTTGCTAATGGCATTACTAAAGCACTCACACTAAGGTTAATTCTGGGAACACCTTGGAAGAACAAAGTAAAGTTCCACTAAAAAAAAAATGACTACAATTTTCATTTATTTAACTTAATAATAGTATTTACTATATTTCAGAGCCATTTTAAACACTTTATAAGGTGTATCTATTTTATGAATATTAGATACAGAAGTTTTATGTGTTTAACCTAAAGGGAAACCACAGCTTTTGTCAAACATCTAAAGGGTTATCTTGGGAATGTAGTAGCCCATTTATCTCTGCCATTAAAGAGGAGCAAAAAAGTTCTACAGAAAATGAGAGCTTTACAATGACAATCTTTCTACTACTGTAAAAATATTAGAAACTTAGTAACTGACAATTGAAAATGACAGAATTACAATCCTTTATTTTATTATATGAAAAAAATACATATTAAAGAATGTTGCTGGGCTGGGAAGGTGGCTCAGTGGTAGAGCACTTGCCTTGCATGCATGAGACCTTGGGTTCGATTCCTCAGCACCACATACGCAAAAAGAAAAAAGTCGGAAGTGGCACTGTGGCTCAAGTGGTAGAGTGCTAGCCTTGAGTGAAGAGCTGAGGGACAGCGCCCAGGCCCAGAGTTCAGGCCCCACGACCGGACCCAAAAAAAAAAAAAAAAAAAAGAATGTTGCTATAAACCATAACATAGTAAAATGACTTCCTTAGCCAGGCACCAGTACCTTGTGCGATAATTGTTAACTACTCAGGAGAGTTTCAAGACAGGCCAGGCAGACAATTCAGTAGTAGTCTTACCTCCAATTAAGCAGCAAAATGCTACAACTGGTGGCATGGACCAAGTGGCAGAGCAGTGTGAGGTCCTGAGTACAAGCTCCATTACCAGCATTTACAATAAATAAATAAAAAGAATTTTGTTTCCTTACAATATGGTTGGCCTCAATCAATAAAAGTATTTACAAAGTGGAGGATTATAGGCTTAGAAGTCCAATCAATTTAGTTCTACTTCTATCTTTCCAACTTATACTAAGTATGTAACTTGAAAAGTATTGCTTCTTTAGGTTTTATTTTCCTCACTTTTAAAATGAGGCTAAAACTACCTGCTTTGCAGGGTTGTTGTTACAAGTAAATGTGACAAAAGTAAACTTTTAGCAGATTGCTGACATACTCAATAAACTTATCTACAATAGATATAATTATCATCATTATAACTGCATCATCATATTGTGGAAGGAAACTATGTGATATGTGGTATCATTAAATGGTTCTGCTAATCACCTGTATGCATATATAATTTTGCACTTATCACTTTATAGGTATCCAAATATAATACATAATTTGTTTTTATCTGCTCAATTTAGAAGATATCTTTTATAATTTGAAAGGAAATATACCTTTAATATCTAAATGTAGGAGTCCATTCAATAAAATATCAGGAGCAAAATAATTCAATGGAATGTAATGAAGAAATTAAGAAATAATGGGGGTAGAGGTATATAAAGAGCTGGGCTCATGCCTGTAATCCTGGAAGCTACTGAGGAGGCTGAGACTTGAGGATTGTGCAGTTTGAAGCCAGACACAGCAGGAAAGTCCATGAGACTTACCTCCAATACACTACTCAGAAAAAGCCAGATGTGGCACTGTGACTCAAGTGGTAGAGAGCTATCCTTAAGCACAAAGAGGGGACAGCACCCAAGTGCTGAGGTCCAGCCCCAGAATTTGCAAAAAAAAAAAAGTAAAAAAAGCAACTTGTTCTTCTGGGATATGAGAATTACATGGGGGAAAAGAGGCACTTTTTACAACTATGTGAACCACTGCTTACAGTCACAATAAATAATATTAGCTAGGTGTTGGTGGCACACATCTGTAACCAAATTACTCAGGAGACTGAGATCTGAGAATCACAGTTCAAAGCCTGCCTAAGCAAGAAAATCTATGAGATTCTTATCTCCAATTAAACATCAAAAAAGCCACAAATAGAGTAGTGGCTGGAGCAAAAAAAGGTCAATGACAGTACCCAGGCCCTGAGTTAAAACTCCAGAACTGGCAAAAAGAAAAAGGAATTTTAGTGGGCTAAGAAGTTTCAAGTTATACAGGGTTTTACATAACAGAATTTGAACCTAAATGTATTCCTAAATGTTGGTCTAAAAACACAGAGTCCAACAATCTAGCAACTCAGTAAATTCAGAACTGTGATATTCATCCATCTCATCTTTTAAAAAAACTTCTAGTTTATTTTCAGATGTTTCAAGATAATATTACTTTTAAAGGCAATTACCGTAAGATAAAACATACAGCTACTATTCAAACCAAATTGAAAAACTTCTTTTATCAACCAGTTCCCAAAAGTTAGACTATAATTCTCATCATCAAGAAACATTATGCTTGTAACAAACATAATTAAATAAGTTAAATATAGGAAGAAAAAACCCAGGGCAGCTTTAAGGTACTTTTAGAGGGATTTATATGATAAGGGATGGTATTATTAATTATAATTTAAATTCAAAAAACAAATGCTATTATTACAGAACTATAAAATCAATAGAAAATGTGTGTGTGTGTGTGTGTGTGTGTGTGTGTGCGCGCGCGCGCACGCGCGCGCGGTCTGGTCCTAGGCTTGAACTCAGGGGCTGGGCGCTGTTTCTTAGTTTTTTCACTCAAGGATAGTCACTTGACAAACAGATTCACTACCAGCTTCTCTATGTATGGTTAACCCTAGATGAGTCTCAGGGACTATCAAGCCCAGGCTGGTTTAGAACTTGGATCTTCATATCTCAGCCTCCAGCTGAGCTAATTCCAGGTGTGAGCTACCAGCACTACCTTTTACTTTTTCTTTTTTGCCAGTTCTGGGGCTTGAACTCTGGGCCTGGGCACTGTCCCTGGGCTCCTTTTATTCAAGGCCAGTACTTTACCACTTGAGCCACAGCGCCACTTCTGGCTTTTTCTGTGATTAATTGGAGGTAAGAGTCCCATGGACTTTCCTGCCCTGGCTTGCTTCAAATCCCATCCTCAAATCTCATCCTCCTGAATAGCTAGCATTACAGGCGTGAGCTACCAGCACCTGGCTTTTACTTTTTTAATTTTTGTCCTAATTCTAGATAAGCCTTGCCCGCAACAGAACTAAAGGAGCTTATTCAGCAGGCAATTATTTCATCACTATGTTCTATGATTTTTAATCATCCCACAAAAATGTATATTCAATTTTCATACTCACTTAAAAGCAGAGCCATCAACAAAATTTTCTAACTACTCAATTTAAAATCGCCTATTTCCAACATCAGCATATTTACATTAGTTTTCATCATCAATTTTAGTATTGTGCAAGGCCCTGAGCTCAATCTCCAGCACCAAGAAAAAAATTCATTTTAAAATTCACTGCAGTGTAAGTCAAATCCATCACATTACTCAGTATAACTAAAGAAACAAAAACCCCAATGAAAATAACCAACACTATAGTTTCTCAAATAGGCTAGGAAAAATTATGGAAAAAAATCACAATACTATTTTTAGTAAGTCATCAAACAAAACCACTCTATTAGCATCTGTATAAATACAACAGGCAATGAATAAACAAAATAGCTACTGAGATGTCACTTTGTTATAGGCATCCAATACCAACAAATTTCTATGGTGTAGTTTTCAGAACTCTTTAAGTTTCCTAACCCGCAGGGCTGGCGGGTGGGGTACACAGCAACCTGGTAGCAGATAAAAATCACAACCAATTACAGTCTAGGTAGGAATCTGTCCCTGGGTAATGTTAAGGTGGGTAACGTATATGTTTAAAATTCACTATTTCAATAGGGAACGAAGAAAAAAAAATGTAGTTCATAAACAAAAGGAGGCCGGATTACAAGTTAACCTAAAATTCCTGACAGTTAACAATCAGTACATTGTAGGCCTGTCTCAAAGATGGGGAAGAGAAAAAAAAGAAAAGAAAAGAAAAAACCTTTTCCCAGAGCACTCTGAAGTGGGCAAGGGGAAACCATCCCTTTTGCACCCACAAGAACCATCCTCCAGACCACTGGCATGCTACTACAGAACCGGTTACGATTTACGGGCACTCGTCCCAGATGATGGGCAAAGGCGAGGGAGGGATGAAGGGTCTGCGGGAGGGGAGGCTGCGGTCCCGGAGGCCTGGAGGTAACTAAACCTACACCCTAGGCTCGGGGGGCGGGGGTTGGGGGGGGGAGGAGGAAGGCAAGGTGGAGAGGGGCCGGCACTCCTCACCGTGATTATCCTTCTGCCCGATATTGTGCGTGCGGATGAGGGAGGAGAGTCTCCTCACGTCCCCCTTGAAGACGCACTCGTGCACCGGGTAGTGTGCGGGGCAGTGGCCTTCCTCGGCGACCGCAGCCTCGGGATTGGGGCCGGCCGCGGGAGCCGGGGTGGTCACGGAGTTGTGCAGCGGCGCGGCGGGCGCGCCGGGGGCGGGGGCCGCCTTCAGCTGCAGCCGGTGGTGGTGGTTACTGAAGATCTTGTGGCAGGCTCGGCCGCCCTTGCCCATCCTGCCTCCGGCGGTGAAGGTGCCGCCGAGGGCGGCCGCCGCTTCCTCATCGCCGGGCTCCAGCAGGTCGCCCTCCTCCTCCTTGCTGGGCTTGTGGTCCCTCCGCAGGGAGCGGATCTTCTCCCCGGTCATCGCCGCCGCCGGCGGAGCCGTGCGGGGAGGCCCGAGGCTCACCGCGGGCGGCGGGCCGAGCCGGGGCGGCGGCGGCGCGAGGCGCTTAGAGCGGCGGCCGGGAGCCTGGGGCGCAGCAGGAACTCCCGGAGCGCCCCGGGGCCCCGGACGCCCGCATCTCCCGGAGGAAGAGGCGGCGACTCCCGCCTAGGCGCCGAGGAGCGGGCGCGCGCTCGCGGGGGGCGGGGGAGGGAGGGGATGGAGACGGGGCCGGAGGGAAGGAGGGAGGAGTCGGAGTGCCGAGGCCCGAGACGCCGAGAGTCTAGTCACCGCCGCCGCAGTCGCCGCCACCACGGCCTCACGGGGAAAAACAGGGCACAGCCATCTTCCTTTGCTCCTCTCGCGAGAGCTCCCCTGGGAGTTTGAAGGGAGGAAACATCGCGATAAGTGAGCCGTTCGTTCCTTCCCCCCTCCCCCCCCCCCCCCGTCTCCTCCTCCCGTCTCCCCCTCCCCTCCGCTCCCTCCCACGCACCCATCCTATTCCCAGGTCGCTTCGCGCCCGGCGCGTCCCCGGCCGACCGCCGACGTCTGGCTTTGCCGAAAGCGTCGGGCCGCGCCGGCCGTGGGCGGCCTGCAGCCGCAGCCTGCTGTCAGGGGACATTCGGCGCTGTTATCCACGGCCATAGAAGCCTCGGAGGCTCCCGCGGAGGCGTGCAGAATGACGTCGCTGCGCGCAGGATGTGATGTCACTGAGATGGCACGGGACACTCGTGCCCGACGCCTTTACCTAAGCACCTGCACTGCGCGCCTGGCGCTGAGCTGCCTGGAGGGACAGGGGGCCACGCCGGGCCGCTGAGAGCCCGGCAGAGGGGGGAAGACGAGTCCCCGGAGCTCGGCTGGCGCTGGGAGCTGGGGGCACGCAAAGGAGGGCAGGGGAAATGCTTATAATGTTGGAGGAATCTCAGCGGGTGACTTGGGAAAACGACGCGCTGGCACTGCAGCGAACTCGGAGGAGGGAGGTCCCTCCAATACTGGTTAGATACGCGCTTGGGGAACGGGTCAGGGTGAACGTATCTGATGGATGCTCAGATGGCATCCAACAACCATAAGGCTTTGATAAGGTGACCAAAGCTGCCCAGCGCTGAATGAAGAGGCTGTGCAGGAGAGTTATAAAAACACTTTTTATCACCCGTTTCCTGTTTTCTCTGACTGCTGCTTCTCTCCACATTATTCTTTCCTAAACTTGACGATCTCGCTCCACCCCGCCTACTGGAAAATAAATAAAGGAAGCAGCGCTGGAGATCTAAGTCAGTAGATGCAGGGAGAGCTTTTGCCTAGGAAAAAAAGCTACCTGTCTGGGTGCTGGTAATCACATCTGTAGCTATTCATGTGGCCGAGATCTGGAAGGATAGTGGTTCAAAACTAGTCCAGGCAGAAAAGTCACTGAGACTCTAATGAGCCAGCAAAAAATCGGGCTGGGGGTGTGAGTCAAGTGGTAGAGGGCCAGCCATGATTGAGAGTTCAAGGTACTGAACCCTGGAACAACCAAAAACCTAGTGAGAGCCTAGGTTTAGACCCGCGTTTTGCAAAAACCTCTGTGTCACTATAACAGCCTACTTTTTCTAATGAATTTATTTTATTTTTTTCCGTTTTTTCGTGTTTGAGAGGATGATGGTGGTTCCATCTATGTTCAAACATTCAGTTGTATATCAAAGAACCTTTGTAAGACTAAAGACATATCTACAATATTTGCTATACCCATATATACAACATTTCTCTCTCATGCATACACACACACACACACACACACACACACACACACACACACAAATCAGCACCTCAAAAGAACTTCCTGAGCAATCAAAAGAATGAACACATAGTACCATAATAGCCCATATTTATTGTGAATCTTAAACCTGACAATAGGGTCGACTCTTTTTATTTTTTTTGCTAAAGGCTAGCATTCTACCACTTGGAGCCTCCACTTTCTTGGTGGTTAATTTTGGAAGTAAGTCTTACAGACTTTTCTGCCTGGGATGGCTTGGAACCATCATGCTCAGATCTCAGATCCTGAGTAGCTAAGATTATAGGCCACCAGCAGTGGCAGGGGTTAACTAACACACCTTGTGGTAAGTATTATCTTTACAATTATTGGCTGAAGAATATTATTCAACTTCAAAATTGAAAAATTAAGTCAATTAAAATCTGACTCTAGAGCTACATCCAAATCATGCAGGCTTCTGAATGTCACCATAAAAATTTATAATTGCCTAGCACTGGTGGTTCACACCTATAATCCTAGCTACTCTGGAGGCTGAGATGTGAGGATTGCAGTTCAAAGCCAGACCAAAGAGGAAAGTCCTAGACCCTCTCTAAATCTCCAAGTAATGACCAGAAAACAGGAAATAGTGCAATGGCTCAAAGTGGTAGAGCACTAGCCTTGAGTGAAAGGGCTTAAAGACAGTGTTCAAGCCCCAGGACTGACCAAAAAAAAAAAAAGTCTTATCCTTTAGCCAGGTGCTGGTGGCTCATGCCTATAATCTGAGCTACTCAGGAGACTGAGTAGCCAGGAGAGGTAAGGCCTTGAGATTCTTACCTCCAATTAACCACCAGAAAATCAGAAGTGGTTCTGTGGCTTAAAGATAGCCTTGAGCAAAAGAGCTAAGGAACAGTGTAAAGGCCTCAAGTTCAAGTCTCACACCAAAAAAAAAAAATAAAAGGTTTATACTTTAAATTGGATGTGGCTTTACACACCAAAAATCTAGCTATTCAGGAAGATGAGATTGGATTCCAGCCTTAGGCAGACAAGTTCTTATGAATCTTATCTCCACCTAACCAACAAAAAGCCCAAAGTGAGCCAAGCACAGGTTGTTCATATCTTAAATTTAGTTACTCAGTAGGCTGAGATCTGAGAATCAGGATCAAACCCAGCCTGAGAGAAAAGTCCCTGTGAGACTTTTATCACTCTTATCTCCAGTTAACCACTCAAAAGAAAAATGGAAGTGAAACTGTGGCTCAAGTAGTAGAGGGCTATCCTTGAGTACAAGAGGCTCAGGGACAGTGCCCAGGGCCTGAGTTCAAGCCCCACAACCAGAAGAAAAAGAAAACTGGAAGTAGAGCTGTGGCTCAAAAGTGGTAGATCCCTTGAGCAAAAATTGCTCAGGGATGATACCCAGGCCCTGAGTTCAAGCCCCACAATCAACACACACACACACACACACACACACACACACACACACACACACAGCCCAAAGTGGAAGTGTGTTTCCTCTGGTAAAATGTTAGTTAACCACAAGCCTAAAAAAAGAAAGAAAAAAAAAAAAAGCCTATGCTGACTTCCCTAAAAAGATTTAGACTTTATTCTAAAAAAAAAAAAGAAGAAAAGAAAAAGAAAAAAGATTTTTTTCAGGGATCTTTAAGTTGGGAATATAGCATGTTAATATTTTCCTTTTCAGGAAAACCATACAATTTAGGAACTTATATTATATATATATATATATATATATATATATATATATATATACACATTATATAATATATAGAGAGAACAGATTATAAAGTGAATGACCTGTTCTTCCTTTTCCTTTTTTCTTTCCCACTTTACACACACACACACACACACACACACACACACACACACACTACAGATAAGCCAGATGTTGGCAATTTGCTTGTGATCCCAGCATAAATAGTAGAATTGTACTCTAAGATAGCCAGTGCAAAAAGGGCTGGAGCATAACTTAAATGGTAGAGCACCAGTCTTGTGGGGGTCGAGGCCCTGCTAGGCACTGGTGGCTCATGGCTGTAATCCTAGGTATTCAGGAAGCTGAGATCTGAGGATTTCAGTTCAAAGCCAAGCCAGGGAAATTCTTGAGACTCTTATCTCCCTAAAACCTGGAAGGAGAGCTGTAACTCAAAGAAGTAGAGGATTAATCTTGAATACAAAAGGTTGGTAACAGTGCTCAGACTCTGACTTCAAGCCCCATGACCAGCATCACCGAAAAAAAAAAATCCCAAAGTATGTACAGTGTACCAAACCAACTGTAAACACTCTTAACTGAAATTTTAGCACACTCAGGTTAGCTACTGAACCGGAGTACTCATTTGTTCATTTACAAGGAACAGTAAATTCAACTTACATAACAAAAAAGTGCAGAGGTAAGTCTTCAAGAATGATCTCCAAATCCCTTGTGAGGCTCATGTGACTCCTTCAGCCTAAATTGGCTTTTGGAGCGTCCTCGCGAGCCAGCGTCCCTCAAGGACACATATGGCTGCCAGCCTTACCAGTGGCTTCATGCCAACCGAGACAATACTGTTCAGGCTACGTGTCCAGCAGAACACTGATTAGCTCAGGCATAAGTAACATCAGCCAATCCCTATAAAGGATGGGATAACACTTGTTAGTCCTGGCCAATCAGGACTCATATCTGAGTCCAAGGTGGGACTAAACCTTCCACATAGTAGAACTACTTCATAATGGGGTTTAGGTGGAAAGATAGACAAACGCCATTTCCACCAGCGATGCTGTCGCACCCAGAAGCAGACATCTAAAAAGGAAGGAAACATAACAGGAGTGTTTTGTTTGGGATTAAATATGAAAAAATATGATCATTAATTATCTATATGTAATAAGTGAATAATTTCATGCACGAATAGCATGTTTACACTGTGTGTGTGTGCGTGTGTGTGTGTGTGTGTGTGTGTGTGTGTGTATTTACAGATCTTGGGACTTAAACTCAGGGCCTGGACACCGTAAAAGTAAATGGACATTTACTTTTCATTAAAATATGAACAACACAGAATTCAATCCCAAAACTCAAGAATGTATCTGAGCTATTGAATTTACTAGACAGTACTCAGGTTAGAACATTATATTTCCTCTTGCTATGGTTAAGAATCCAGTATGCCGGGCGCTGGTGGCTCAAGCTTATAATCCTAGTTACTCAGGAAGCTGAGATCTGAGGATCATGGTTTGAAGGCAACCCGGGCAGAAAAGTCTGTGAGACTTTTATCTCAACCACCAGAAGACCGGAAATGGCGCCTTGACCCAAAGTGGTAGGGTCTTGAGTTGGAAAAACTTCAGGGACAGCGCCCAGACAATTCAAACCC